ATCAAAGGCGCTTGATCTTACGGTAACAATAGTAAATATGTTCGAAAAAGGATGTCCGTACAGTTGTATGATGCCATCCATATTCCTTCGTGGGATTTTTCCTTTGGTTCTGTGCTACTAGCAGTATAAGGTCATTTTCTGTACAGAGGGTAAGGAAAAGATGACTGTCTGTAGTCATCAGGATGTCCGTTTCCCTGACAGTTTCATGATTGAGGATCATTTGTGACGCTCTTCCTTGAAAATGCTTTTTCAAGTAATTTTGCCTTCTCTGTCGTCAACCAGAGGTTGTTATATCTGTTACTGCCTAGGCATTGTAGCGCCTTGTCTTTTGTTTGCTACCCTCAACGTGGCTCCAGATGTAGAGTGCGATTTTTCTTCTTTCTTGTTGCAGAAAGGGACGGGATAATAAAATGGGTTCGACCTTACTTTTAGGATTAAAATTGGATGTGAATCCAGTCATTTCCTTTTGGGTTTCCGGTCGGAGTGTCTTGCTAAGGATCATAATGGGCATAACGTGCTGATTGCTAGAATTGGTGCGCCACTAAGTTGTGGTCTCTGACGATAAGAAATTGTCCTCGTTTGTTCGGTTCGGTTCAGTTGCTTACTTTTTCCTCTTATGACACGGAAAAAGAAGTGCGTTCGATTGAGGTTCGGTACAGCCGTTGATACGTTATATGTTGCTCATCCGCCTAGCTGTGACCATGTCTTTTGGCAGATTATCTTAGCGCAGTTCTGTCACTAGCTAATTTTCCATTCCATATGTGGCTCTTTTATTGCCTGTAGGCGTCATACATGTACTGAGGTTATATTCTTCACACGATAACCTTGAGTGAGGGACAGGGGAGCATAATAAACAGTTTAAGACCTGTTGACTCACTTCTTCACTTCTTGTGCACAGCGTGCTACCTTCTTTCACAGTACTCTGTGGCATAATTTTAATTTTAATATATTCTACTTTATGACTCAAGAAGTTAGTTCTGTCGTTAATTCTGCTCATTTTAAAGTCCTAATCCTGGTTTTCATGCTTTCACTTAATAATTATTCAGTCCTTAGCTAAATACATAAGGATAACGGGAATAAACGCATATACGTTACTTACTGTTCAAATTGGTAATCTCTTCATGCCCGTATCGACAGAATCTAATTCGAAGTTCTGTTCAAACCGGCCATGCTTCGATTTTATCGGTTTATCGTTAATCTTACTACTGTACCTAAGCCTTTCCATTATTTTTTATATGCTCAAGTTTACGCGCTGGCTTCGTTGTAGGTTGAGATTCACACTGTTGTCCGTTATTGTTTATTTTATATGTCCTAGTTACAGCTATGCAGTGAACACATTCGACGTCCCAAGATATCTCTGTTTTCCGTTTTTCACCTTTACAGTTGGTCAAGTAGTAATACGGTAAAAAACACTGATTATCAGTTTTGACTGCACAGCAGATTAGTTTCCTCTCCTATCAGAATTGATTTTATTGCGAATTTATTTCGGTTTATGCCGTTATGGGGTAGTTCGTAATTATATGGACAAAATGCTGGATTAGGCGGTAAGATATACGGTTTCTTCCACACTCCCAAATGACCATGTCACTGACATTGAGAACTATCAATATCCATTTAGATGTCTATGCTTTAACTAGTCGTGAATAATAGGCCTGACCAGGAACAATCTTCCATTGCTTCCATTCTGTTCCAACGGGGCTTCTAATACCACCAAAGTATGCAAGCCTATCATCCTTTATCAGATTCAGATGGAAGAATCCGACGAATGACCCTAACTAACTCCTTGAACGCAGGATCTCTGTTCTAAGTCTGATGCGCTGTTGACTGAACAATCTCGCACTTTAAAGCACTCCGTTTGCCAAGGCAAAACCAAAAGAAAGTCTTCACTAATACAAAAAAATGAGTTGTCAGGATTGACGGCTAATTATGAGACTGGTTTAGCATCGAAGTCGAACTAAAGCCCCTAGAGTACCGTGTAATGCCTGATTGTATACTCCCGCGGAACAACGCGCACTGATCTTTCACCAACTACGTAGCCAAAGTACCGGTTGATGATGATTGAAAATTTTTGCTTGCAATATTTACACGCTGCAGATTGCTTTGTTGACAGAACCAGGTTTCAGCTGGAATGTCTACTGTTCCTCACCCCACTAGTGAAACTCACCGATTCCCTTCCATTAGTAAAGTTCAGCAGACAGGTGAGATGAACAAGACCAAGTATTTTTGACCAGAAGAAATACTGACATTCTATCAGACTGCGAACCTTTACTCATAAAAGTAAAAGTATCTGTGAGTTTCATCGTTTAAGTGATGAGGATTGAAACTCCAGCCGAAACCTAGTCTCTGCTGGACAGCATCTATCCTGTGAAAGTATTCAAGTAAAAATTTTCCTTCGTTATTCTTTTCTTCAATGAGGTCTGGCTTCTTTGGTTTGTTATGAATGTTCTCCTGAAAGCATCATCAGTTAAACCGAATTAAACAGAAGTAAACAAAATTAATTGACTAATTACGATTAATCAAGAGAGGATATTCTCATGGTCAGAGCATGTGCATGATGTGCTGCTAGCAGCCGTCGTGAGCGGCTGGGCGAATCGGCTGTTCGTGATTGGCCATCGGCCGACGATTATTCGCCAACCGCCACCGTAGTCCCGTTTTATTGGCCGGTTAATTTCTGTTTTCAGCATGATCCGCCCGGATGTCGTGACGAGAATGATGGATGATACTGCTTGGAGTGGAGTAGACACCTTTTTGATCATTGTCGTTAAACGTCATCGTTCGTTAGGCAAGCTTCTTCTCTATAGGTGGCAAAAAGACAAAAAAGGAAAAGCGACCATCCATATATTCTTATATCAGCCAGAGATTGAGCTTCAGAAACGTCGCATCAAACAAGCGGCATTCGCTTCCTGTCGAAATAGAGAATTCGCCGACCGACGAGACGTACCATCCGTCATCTGCGGTCATCGCCGTGTCCACCGCCAGCTCGTTCAGCGACAGCAAACAACGGCCAGTGAAGAAGAGTACTGTTGCCGGTCGCAATGACCGTCTTTCCTCGCTTCATTTGTTTAATACTCTTCTCTTTTAACTTCCGGTGACAGTTATGGCCGGTGGTATTGTTAAAAGATTTGTATATCTTCTTTCTGCAAAACACGTCAACGTAAAGTAAATCCTGTTTGCTTCGGTGAGACGTCGCGTTACCTCTTCAGTAGTTAAGTTTCGTTCAATAGAGCTTAAGTCAAACCGGTCTCATCCATATCGATTGCTATTGACTAAATTCTTTGACTTGTTAGTCTTATGTTGCAGTGTCATCTGATGTTTTCTGATGTTTCAACATATGTGTAATTTACTAGCATTTAAGATGGATGGACGTGTGACAATGTGACATGTTAATGATGCATGTAAATGGTCATAAGACAGAGCTTATGCGTGTTTAATAAGCATTAATTATTAATCATTCAAGCCATCCTGAGAAAACGGGTTTACATTTGCATTACGACATTACCCTCTCCTGAATTCATATAAGGTTATTTTTGCGCGCCGCTGTTTCGCGGTATCTGACCATCACCTCGGCATCTCTAGCCATCTTTTAGACTAGAGCTGTATTCTGTTCTTTCAAGATCTGGCACGTCTAATCTAGTTTCGCAAACGATAACAATATGGGTTGCTTTTTTATACTGCAATGCCTTGTAGCTCTGAATGTGCGTGCGGCTGTGAACTGCACAAGGGAATTCCGGATCTGATCCACATCTGTATCCTGAAGAAGACCCTTGAGACACTGATAAAAACAAACGTCGACACTGGGCAACTCTCCTAATGATACGTACATCACTAAAACCTGTTTTGTACTGTTTTCAATTTTGCTGATGATACAGTTAGCCACTGTTTTTCGTATCTAAAAGAACTATGTGTTTACGTTAACGTGAACTTGATGATAATAAAATTCTTAGTATTATTGTTAATGAAAGTATCATATGCAATAGTGTTGAAGATGACCAGTGATAATCTAGTGATGAACGGAGACTTAGCTTAACCGTTATACGTCAGAAGAAATCAGTCTCAGCTGCACAGCGAATCTAACAAGCCCGTGTTAAATCTGTGGCTGTCTTATGGTGCATTTTCACTATGAAACTTGCATACGTATATCTTAAAGTTGGCGCATAATTTTGATTATGTAAAAAATGGGAGTAGCGTTTATAACTGCCAGAATTTCTTCTTACCCCTATCGTAATGGTACTATTCCAGAGCCCTTCTTTTCCTCGTGTTAATGGTCAGGTGTTGATCTCCATTTCTGTGTTATCATTCAGGAGAACCTTGTTTCAAAGGCAAAGTCGGCAGTAGCTGTGGGGCAAGCAGTGCGTCTGTGTGGTCTCCTGCTTCCTTCCCACAGTGTGGCACTCATTTATCAACCTCAAAAGGAAAAAATGGGCTTCACCTCGACTCGAGGTTCAAACGGGAAACCGCTGATGTGAAAAAAACTTGTTTTAAATTCGCTTTTCAGACAAAGACATTTGCCCTCTTGCGAAATCCACCCTTACCCTGACATCTCCAAAGTTCAAGGTCGACCTCTTAGTCTTTGTACCACCATGTCTACGTTATATAAATACACTCTTACGTGTCACGTCAATGTTCTATGCGTTTTAGCTGTTAAAAATGGTTCGTTGTAATTCTTCACAATACTAGTGTATATGACTCTGTTTTGAGATGTTCTATTGAGTCTTGTCGCGCATTTGTTCAGGAACAATGGATTTGTCGTGTTTAAGGTACTCTTCGCCGCAGCATTTCCAACGCGCCTCGTTCGGACAGCGAATCGAGTATCGCCAGTGCCGAAAGTATGTACAACCACTCAATGCTTGTCGTCGAAATAACGGAAAACAACGTCAAGAAGTATACACACCGTTTTGCTTTGTTTCACTGACCTTACTTCGTTGCATGTTTTAAGGTATTACGTGGTCCCTCCGGGAATGGAAAAGATCTCAAAAGTCAAGAAGCTTCTGAAGAAGGGCAAAAAACTTCACATATTCAATGAACATACGTTCGTTTCAACAAAGATTCCGGGGTGAGTTTCGATTAACACGCTGCTTGGCGATTCCATGTTTCGTCTGGTTTCTCTCACCAAATGCTTGCTGACACTTATTGAAGTCCACGGATTATTTTAGTTTCACTCTTACAGTACTTTCTAAATAAAACTGCAAAGCTTCGATTCCGAGTCAAGCGCTGAAATGAGCTTCCTGAGGCGAATCTCTAGTCTTAGGCGTTTCCATATGGTCCATTATATGGTATACAGTCGCTGCTTCTTCAGATTAACAAATCGCAACTACAACGATTTAGGCACGTGTTGCCAATGCCTCCAGAAAGGAAGGCGAGACAGCTACTTCTCGCCCAGCCGTCATGCAGAAGGCCTAGACGACTGCCAAAATTAACCTGGTGCAAATATGTGTAGAGTCTGCTTTAGACTCCGTTTATTTTGTGCTGAAACACGGACTCTTACACAGGATCGGGAACGTTGGAAGCACTGTCTTGCACATCGGCCTCCGCAACCCTTAAAGATAGCCGGCCAACGACTGACTGAGTGACTGAGTGACTGAATGACTGACTGACTGACTGACTGACTGACTCACTGACTGACTGATGCACTACTGACTGACTGACTGACTGACTGACTGACTGACTGACTGACTGACTGACTGACTGACTGACTGACGGACGGACGGACCGATTGACTGACTGACTGACTGTCTCTGACACTACCTTTTATAAGTTTTCATGAAACCCATCTGGCCTGGTCATCTGTATGAAATATAATGTTTGCTGTGATGTAATTTAAATTGTCTGACCACGTGATTTTGTGTGCTTTCTGTATTCTTCTGCATTAGGTTTAGCCTTGTCTGAAAAGTCGAGCAAGTTGTAAAAAGCATAAATATTTCAAAAAATATAAATATTTTTTGTTGTTAGCCAGTTGTGAACTTTCCTGATGGACATCTCATCTTCGTTAATCCAGGCTCAGTAAGGTTCCAAATAGTTGAGTAACGCAGCGTATGTTTCTGCCCTTCAACTTGCGTATACTTCGATGTTTAGCTGCCCCACCTTTTAAAGGTCATTTTTTGCAAATAAAATTAAATTTATATTTTTACATAATGGCAGTCTTGTTCATGAGTAATTCTTCTGTTGAATACGAAGATTGATCATGATCCGAAATATCGAGCATTCATTCATTCATTGTAATGTGTCCGTTCTGTTCTGGTCACAGGGACAGTTACGCTTTTCAAATAGTTCCAGGAACTGGATTTCAAAGTACCATAATGCCAGGGCAACTCAGAATTTTCCATCATCTGTTCAGCGATCTACCCGAAGGCCGTTTTCTGCTTGGCTTTGCCAGTGAAGCCCTTTTGGCTATTCTTCTTTCAGCAACCTGCTCCAAGTTCAAACCAGAGAGATTGTGGTCTTTCTCCCTCCACCTGATAAAGCACTAAGCGTTTATATGCAATTTATACAATGATACTGTACAATCTATTATGAAGCACTATTTTATAAACCGCTTCTGAAATCGCCTGATGGGGGATTTCACCTCGGTGTGTTTAAAGTCCTCTACGGGGCAGGGGCGAAAACAAAACGACCGTGAATTTGCGCCATACATTCCATTTTTGCTTCACGACTCAATTCAAATTTAACTAAAGTAATTGCAACTCGAGAGCGGTGAAATTACTGAGGTTTTCTAGGATTTGTCACCCTCACATTATCGCTGGTGATAACCGGAAGAGTAGTCTCGCTCAGCGATATAGGCAGAGAAAGTGGTTGTTGATTGTCCGATATGTCCATTGCCCACAGGAACATTTTGCTTTCTATGTGGTTGTCTAGCTGTCGCATAAAGAAGGCGAATTACATATGCGCTCAACGTTAAAAAACATCAACAAGAAACGATGAGGGTACCTTTGCGCACTGCGTTTGAATAAGCGGAAATACCTGGATTGCTTGTTTCATTTCGCTAACGGTAGTAAAAGCCAGTTAATTGCGACGGTTCCCCTCTTCCCTTTAAGCATATAGCAAATGTGTTTTGATTTATTGGACATGGTATTATCGTGACTAAGAAGTCGATTTTGAACACCGGAAGCGCTGGGTTGGAATTCGCTGAAGGAACAACTTTTGTCTTTGCAGGGGATTCCTTTCAACGTATAATTTACCCAAAGTTGCTTCAGCGCAACCTTCAGAGAAACGAATAATAAGTCGTTGACCTTCGAATAATTCAGACAGCATGGATTCCGGTTCTGATCATGCTAATGGACGAAGTGTATGGCCATGTTATCCGATGTCAACGCTCCTTGTGGCTATACTCCATCTTGACTCACCTGATAACTGACGATCCAGTGTAGCAGTTAGCGCAAAGTGTAACCCAAGTTCGAATTAATTTGAAGGTTTTGATGCTAATTCGTAAAGATTGCCTCTGGTTGCAGTTTTGTCGTATAAATTATTCTTAGTATGTGTCGAACTGAGCTGAGACAACGATGCATTACGGTATTGGAGATGTTAATAGTACCATCAGCTGAATAGCTTTTAATATA